GAAATCAACAATGGTAGTTATATCGCATATTATTGTCTTCAAAGTAGCTGTTTAGATTACCATATGTAGGCATGAAAGATTGATTTAAAAATTAAGCATTAACTGTTCCTTAAACCAATAGAAATTAGTAATATAGTTATCTTAAGCTATCTTGTGTTTTTTTTTCCCTTTCTTTTTTTCTTCCTTTCCCTCATCCCAATTGTTCTTTCCTTTTGAGCAATTTTTTCCTCTCACAATATGTATTGTACCTTTCAGATTTTATTTCCTCTTTCAGTTTCTTAGACTAGGGAGATAATATGATGTTTACACGTGCAGGTCTGATTTATTTCACTAATGAATGTGGTCTCTAGTTGCTTCCATTTACCTATAAAAGCCTCAAGTTTTTCTTTTTTAAAGGTGAGCAATACTCCATTGTATAAAAATACCACATCTTTTTTATCCATTCCTCAGTTAATGGGCATTTGGATCATTTCCAAGATTTAGCTATGACAAATTGTGCTGCCGTAAACATGGGGGCACATATATCGCTGTGGTATGATGTTTTCAATCCTTAAGAAAAAATACCCAGAAGGGGAATAGTTGGGTCAAATGGAACCACTAATCCTAGTATTTTGAGGAATATTCACACTGATGATGGCAGTGTTGAAATGTACTAAAATAAGCCTGTATCCTATTTGCAAATTATTAGAACTGGAAATCTGAGAACAAATACTGAAGGATAAAGAATATATTAAAAAGCAGACTTTATTCAAGTCATTTTGGGGGTACAAAGTACAACTTTTACTTTAGGGGCAGTGTCATTCGAAAATATTACCAAAAGAAAGTCTTGCAAATGCGGAAGTTTTTCTTGTTTAAACAGAGGTTGGGGAAAATACCTAAAAAAAAAAAAAATCTCGTTATTATTTTACCATTCATTTATCTTAAAAATTATTTTACAAAATAATATTTTCCATGCTTTTGCCTGCCTATTTTAAGAGAAGTACTATTACAGGACTTTTAATAATTTCACTTTTAACTCTTTGATATAAGTTACATTTGAAATGATGTTTCCTAGGAAAAGGGAGGATAGAAATGTTTGTTGTTGTTTATATTACGGTTAGTCATCTACTTGATATTTTTATTTTTATTTTATTTTATTTTATTTTATTTTTTTGGTTTTTCTCCGGTACTGGGAACTGAACTCACGACCTTGCGCTTGCCAGGGAGGTGCTTTGCCGCTGAGCTAAATCCCCAGCCCCTATCTACTTGATATTTTTAAATGAGCTTTTAAACTAACACAACTGTATTTTTTTCACAGGTCCCCGAATACTGTGACTTTATCACTGTTAATGGATCAAGGCTTTAGTTCCAGTTTTCAGCTTATTAAGTGTCAAAATAAGGTGATTAGCTTGAGTACAGGTTCTTTCCCAGCACCATATTTGATACGACATGAAATAAGATCAAAGGCAAAAAAGATCAAGCTGAACTCTGATAGAAAGAAACAAGAAAGCTTTGCTTATGATCAGCCATGTAAGAAAGAGTGTGTTCAGATAATTACTGGTATAACATCTCTGTCACCACTTTTAGCATCCAGTAAGTTTTGTTGCATTGTACTGCTACAAATTAGGGATAGAGAAGGTGGTAACTATCCTGAAGATCGTTGTATTCCCTGTGGCAGACTTTTTGTAAGTTTAGAAGATCTTTCAAGTGGGAAATATCTACTGACATTTCCAAAGAACAAACCAATAGGTAATTTTTTTGGTGCTTTTTAATCATATACTTAGTCAATCAAAATTTTAAGGGCTATTTATTTGACAATGGACAGTTTAATGATAGAATTTGTAACACGTTTATCTTTAGAACACATGGAAGATCTATTTGCATGTCTCGCAGCATTGCAGAAATCTTGTTTTCAAATCATATCACCTGGCTATTCTCTCAACGCAATGATGGTGTGGCTCATAGAACACATGAAAGGTGAAATAATTGAAGAATTTCCAGAAATGTGCTTTTGTAAAAGGCCAGGTAGTTTCTATGGGACACTCTTCAGCTGGAGACAAAGAACACCATTTGAAGGGATTTTAACAATCTATTCCAGGTAATGCACATCACGTTGTAATCAGTCCAGAGAAATTAGTGTATTTGAGTGTGGTGAATGCGTAGGCCAGCTGTGATCCCCACATAAAGTTCTGTGCTGCGATGGGACGGACAGCCATGATGTGGTATCGTGTGGGTGGACAGGTGTGGCATCAGTTCGAAACTAAAGATCTCTGCTTTCATTTTATGTTTGAGTTTGGCTTTTTCTTAGAGCCCAATAATTATTTTAGGATTTCCTTTTATCTCTTCTTCATAGCAAAATTAAAAAAAAGTACTGATCTTATTTCACAGCAAAAGGGATTTAATCAGCAAGTAACATGATTAATACTAACTTCATGAGTATAAGATGCATATATTTATTGCTACCTCCTGAATTTTATCAGTATCACATGCATTTTATTGTTACTCATTATAGTGTTTATAATTGAATATTGATTAGTATATCGTACATGAGTGCTTTGTGCTATTTTGATTTTGTAATACTACGTTTGTTCTTTTATTTTAGGAGTCAAACAGTTTTGTTCCAGTGCCTTCATAATCTCATCAAAGTTCTTCCTCTAAACTGTTTCTTCAAAAATCTAAAATTAGGAAGTGAGGATCTCCCAGCTGATCATTTGGCATTGGCTTTGGAGAAGGAACTGGCTACCCTTAGTTCTCTTTCTTCTTCGGCCTTAGCTAAGGTTGAAAGCAACTTTGTGGAGAGCTCTCAAGTAAGTAAAGGAAACAGTAGTGCCATGACTGCTTCATCAGATGAAACAGAGAAAATCCATCTATACAGAAGAGAAGTTCAAACAGAAAAGGAAAAACTGTTAGGAATGAACGTGAAAGTAAGTGGTGCCCTTTATAGAGAGATAACTTTGAAATTGGCTGAGATTCAGTTGAAATCGGACCTTATTGCACAAAAACTGACCAGTTTATAATTACAGTTTATGTGTGATTGTATTTTAAAATACGTTTTCACTACCACAAAGTTTTGGTTTCACTTTGTATGCTGCCTTTATAAAAATAAAGGTTCAGGCTTATTATAGAATCTTTAGTTTTAAAGATGTAGAAAATAATGTTCCCTCTAGGGCAGAGGTTCTCAGGTAGGGACATTTTGCCTCACTCTGCTCCCATTCTCTGCTCCAAGATAAGAAAAGAATAACCTATGTTAGTGGCATTTTGGGCTGGCTAATGTGTTGCTGTGGAGGGTTGTCCTGCGCATAGTAGGAAACTGACCAGCATCCCCAGCTTCCTCTCCCCTCTAGGGGCAGAAAAGGCTTGTATAGGCATCTAGTGGGTAGAGGAGGCCAGGGCTATTGTTAAAACTCCTATGATACACAGACCAGCCCCCTCCCCCCACTGCAAAAAAGCATTATCCAGCCCAAATGCCAGTAATGCAGGGGCTGAGAAAGCCTGTCTTAGATTTACCACTTAAGTGAAAACAGAAATTTCGATCCTTTTCTTGTGTTCTCCTCACTAAAACCTAGTATATGAGAAACAACTTCAACTGGAAAAACTAATCAAGATTGATCTCAAGTTTCTGTTCATGTTAAACTCCCTTGGAAAGTTAAATGGTAGAGTGAGACCAGTTTTTGAAACCCTGGTTAATTTAAATTCCACTGGAGACCTGCTCTGGAGTTGCAGGTCTATAGGAATATAAAAATTCGAGGGTATTGTTCTGAAAAGCACAGCTCTTCCAAAAGGCTAAGTATACCTTACAGGCAACTATTAAAAATAAAACTGAAAATGCTTTTAAGCTATCTGAAATTCTAACTCTAGGCAAAGCTAAAATATAAAATCCCATAGAAATAACTTAGAGAATATTGTGCTCCTTAGGGACTGAGAAATTTAAAAATAAGTAAAAATTCACTTCTGAAAAGTGATTTAAAAGTGATCAAATAAGACTTTTCAGAGGGATAAAAATTCAACTTAGTCTTTTTTTTGCAAAATAAGAATTGTGGACTAGTGAAAGAATGTTAGGAGAAGGGAAAAAGACACAAAAAGATGTGGACAAAAAGGAATTTTCCTAGCTGAAAGTAGTAAAACATGACTGTAATTCCAGCACTCGAGAAGCTGAGGCAGAAGGAGCACCAAAGTTTGAGGTCAGCCTAGAATACATAGTGTGTCTAAGGCCAACCTGAACTACAAAGCGAGACCCTGTCTCAAACAAGTAAACAAAGAAAGGAATGTTCCTGATCCTTTTTGCTCTGTAATCCTTAAGTGAGATAGAAGTTTCCATCTCAGTTAGAAGAAATAAAGCGATTATAAGAAGTGGCATCTCAGGCATGCAAATGTCTAAGTGCTATTTCCCCCCATACCTTAGATGTTCTTGTACCTAATGATCTAATGATACAAATGATTTTTAGAGAATAGAAGTAGTTTCTTGTCTTTGTTTTTATGATTGTCCGTATAATAAGCTACTTCTTTTTCTGGCAATCTATTGCTGATTGCGATAGAACTCTACAGCTCTATAGGAAATGTCAATGAAAAATATGTCAGACTTTGTGCAAATAGAAATGAAATAAACTCAGTATTAATTGTGGAAGTCTGAGAACTGTGTATGTCATGTGCTGTCTTCTGAAACTTCTTATGACATGTTCTGAAAAAAGAGCTAAACAAAAAACGTAGGAACTAAGTTGTAAAATGCAGGCTGTGAAAAGTGCAAACAGGATTTAATTGTAACAGTATATCTGTAAGGAAGTTAGGATACAAAAAATAGTGCAGTGTCTTTTTATTTATAAGTAAAACAAAAAAGCATTAATCTATATATGCCAAATAACTTCTTTACAAGTGGGTTTTATTTATCCTACTTTATTCAAATTAGAAAAAGCTAAGTTTGAGGAAATGATACCCTTACCACTTTCATGATTCAGTTGTCTGCATCTATAATCAAATTCCACCCACGACCATGCTCACAAATCTGAAGTTGCCTTTAAAAACAATCTTTCCAAATCAGCAGTGCTGCATCATTTGGGAACAGAGCGCACCACTGTTTTCAGATGAGTAGCTATCTGTTGGCCCCTGACCCCTTAACTGAGGAATATGTTTAAGCCCATTTGGACGTGCCACTGTTCAGTTCAGTGAATAGGTTTTGTGAGGGAGCAAGAAATATAGCATTAAGTGGCTGTCAGCTGTATGCCTAACAGTAACCTTGAAACACACATGAATGCACACATTTGTGTACATATTTATGCTTAATTCTTCACAGCAACCCACGAAGTATAGTCGTTAGTGTAGTCCTCAACATAAAAAAAATTGGAAAGCCAAAGTAAAAGGATGCACAGACATACCTTGAGTCTGTGCCCTCACTGCAGATTATTTCAGAAATAGCAAATGCTTTAAGTGCTCTAATAATATACTAGTGAATCATTTATTGTCCTTATAACAGCTCTTTATACCATCAACTGTTTTGCCCCAGTCTCGAAAATGAAAAGGTAGGAGTAACTTAACATCTCGCTGTCCTTAATAAAGACAAACAATTGAACTAGAAACTCCTGTTCCATAACTTTGTTTTCTTCCTCCCTTCCTTATTTCCTGCCTTCCTCCCTGCTTTATTCCTTTCCTCCCTCTTCGATGATACCAGATATTGATAGTCCTTTTTCTTCCTTTTCCTCTAAATGGCAAAAATGTTACTTTCTATTCTCGGAATTTGGGAGTGAAAGCTCTTTCTTGGATTACCCTATTGCCTGTCGAAGCCTAGGCTTTTATGTCTAAAGGCAGTGATACATGGAAAGAATGCTGCACCCTAACAGTATACTTAACTGAATTCTTCAAAGATTTGTTCCGTTTATGTTCTTGGGTTGTCTATTCAAATTGTGGAATTTCACAAGTGTACCGTGTAAGAGCCACAGGCATACTAAATAAGACTTACTTTGTCATATTACAGATGAATCTGATTTACATTCTCCTGGGAATGGACCTTGTTTGTAAGTTGGAGACTTACTTTATTTGAATAATTTCCTTCCTCAACAAACTAGCCCTATGCTATAAAATCCTATGGTAATGAATATTCTTGAATGTTAATAGTTTGGTCAATTTTAGCCCATTATTTTAGTAATCCTGCCTTGCCTTTTTATTCAGATGGTTCCAGGTTCAGATTCTGAATTTTTATGAGGGCAATAATTCAGATATCTACAGTGCTCTCGCTGTTTAGATTTTTGCTATGCTACACCTAGGAGCAGCTGTGCTGGACAAAGGTACAGTGTGTATAACTGTGGGTTGATATCACAGCCCTGGGTTCAGCCAGGAAGTTTCTTTACCATCCTTAATTTAATCTTTAATTATCCATTTCCTTACAGTATCAGCCACTTATGTCAAAGTTTAAGTGGTATTATGGCCAATAAAGCATATCGTTAGTAGTTGGCCAAAATATTTAGGTCAGTCAGGAGTTAGAAGTATGGTTTACTCTACTGATTACCTCTTCCACGACTATTTCCCCCTTTGGTTCACATCAGAACTCTTGTTTTGGTTAGGAAACTTCTTTCTAACAGTTCCTATGATTGGGGAGGCAGATCCTATCCCCAGTTCTCAAGGTTAATGTTGACTATTCTAAGCCAATCGAGGTAAGACAATTCCTAGGCACTGGTCTGAGCACAGCATAAGACCAATCCACTGGTCCTTAGCAGACTGGAGCAAAGGGCATGGTTCTTTGTTTAGAAAGAGACTGATTCCGCATGTCCTGCTGGAAGTAGGTTGCCCTGATTTAAAAAGTTGAGAGTTACAATTACAAAGGAAATTAAGCCTTGGAATGACTTGACCTTGAACCACAACATTTCTATTGTGTGTGTGAATGAAACCTAATTCCCCTTTCTCCCTTGACTGCCTATTATTTAAAAAAAAATTCTTGTAATAGAAAATAAGATATCTGTTACTTGCAGCTAAAATCTTTTCTACTTACTAGAAATCGGAAAAAGAATCTCAGAGAAAAAATGCACATGAAGTACAGGACAGAGACAGTTCACTATAGGAACAAGATGCTTGTACTTTTAAGAAAGAGAGTAATAAAAAAACCACTGACCCTCTGCCCCCATACACACCATTATTTTTGGGCAGTGGGTCACATATTCATATATTTATTAATTAATTAATTTATTTTGGTGTTTTGAGAGAGGGTCTTGCCATGTAGTTCAGGCTGGCCTTGAACTCACTATGTAGCCCAGGGTGGGCTCACAGTGATCCTGATCCTCCTGCCTCAGCCTCCTGAGTGCTGGGATTACAGGCATGTGCTACCACGCCTGGCATACTTTTTAATTCTTTTGAGTTTACAATTCAAATTACTGCATATGCTGTAGCAGTGCATACCTTGAAATAAAAGCTTTAATTTTTCAATTATTACTCTTCTTTATTTCTTGGTGTCTCTCTGGTATCACACCAGGCTAGTTGATTTCTTAGGCTTTACTCATTGGGGTAGAAGTATATGTCAGATCAGTTAAACTATTTGTCAGTATTTCTCGTTTTAGAATATAAACTTGTAAATGTAAGGAGCATAGTGTCTAGTGTGTTTCTTAGATATCTGAAGAATTCAGACTTTGAATTCTCCTTTCTTTGGACAAGTGTTCTCGCATTTTCTGCTATATCCTCTCCAGTAGGAAGGGAAGGAAGTCTTTATCAATTTTTTTTGCTGTAGGAGTCTTTATGCTAGAAAATAACTGATTTGATGTCATTAGACTGGAAAACGTAGCAGTGTGGCTTTGTCAGGAAATATATACATTATCAATTTAGGGCTTACAGCCTTTTCAAAGATGAAAAATATATACTAGGGAGCGAAAGATAATCCTCTCACTTCATTCTAACTCTTTCATAAAAACAAGGTGGTGATAATGTTTTTAGAACGGTTTTTGTGATTCTGATGAGATATTTTAAGGTTTAGAATGACGAAGTTGGTCATGTCAAATGCAGTAATAAAATCCTCTTACAAGTTGTCCCAAATAGAAATTAAAATACTCCAACCCTTAAGAGACTCTGATAAAAGTAGTAAAAATACTGGTGTGATTATGTGTGCTTGGGTTATAGAGCCTGAAGGGAGCCACGACCAAATGTATTACAGACAGCAAAATCTTCAGAAAAAATGAATATGCAATATGAGTATATTTGGCCCAAGAAGGGCAGGTGGGACTTGGCACGCAAACCGGTTGAGTGTTTCCTGCAACCAGTGCCACCTGGAAGGAAAAAGAACTAGCCAGGGAATCTGTGATAAAAAAAAAATTCTGCAAGATTTATGAAATATGTTGAAGAAAACTGTAACTTATAGTTGCATATCAATTTTCTCTGATGTGGCATGCTGGGTCATATGTATACTATGTATTGGTTATTGTGTGCCAGACATTTGCTTTTCAGGTAGTAGCCATTAGTCATGTGTGGCTATTTAAATTTACATTTAGAGTAATTAAAATACAATAAAATTTAAAACTTTAATTCCTTTCTTGCTCTGGCCACATTTTACATGTACAAGGGCCACACACAGCTAGTGTATAGCATTTGGTCAGTGTAACGTAGAGCATCTTCATAGTCAAAGTTCTGTTACACAGTACTGCTTTGAGGTGTGTGCTGTATTATCTGACTCTTATTCACAAATAAACTGAGACCCAGACAGAGTAAATAGTATAACCAAGGACACACAGTGCATGAGGAACAGAACCAAGATTTAAATCCTCCAGTATAGTTCCAGAACTTTTGCTCTTTCCACTCTATGCTATTCTGCTTATTTTTTTTGGTTTTTCTCCGGTACCGGGAACCGAACTCACGACCTTGTGCTTGCCAGGCAGGCGCTTTTGCCGCTGAGCTAAATCCCCAGCCCCTATGCTATTCTGCTTATAAAGTAGGTTTGTAGCCAAGCGTGGTAGCACACACTGTCATCCCAGCACTCAGGAGGCTGAGCCAGAAGAATCACTACAAGTTCAAGGCCAGCCTGAACTGCACAGAGAGCCCGAATTGTCTCAACAAATAAATAGCCACTTTGTAATAAAACGCTATCACATCAAGACAGTTTTATAGTAATGAAACACATTTATACTTTAAAAAGGTGTTCAAGAAATGCACAATACCCTAAAAGTATGTCTTTCAATGTAACTGAAATATCAAAAACGTGGGCATGTTATCCTAAATCTTGTAATGTT